CCAGATTGTATTTTGGCTATCACTCTGTATCTTATCTTGGAGCTGACCGATGGAACGCCCTCCCTGCCGCGATTCGCACCATATCCCTACCTGCTGCATTTCGCTCCGCTATCTTCACGTGGCTAGGGCACCCTGTAAGAAGACCATACGTCTGTGGGGACTGCCCTAGTAAGATATGAATAAATAATAATAATAATAATAATCTCCGACAGAAACTCACTGCGGGTATGCAAATCCCCAGCCAAATCATGGCAGATATTCGGATTGCACGCACGCAATCCTTCGTTTGTACGTAGTACGAACGTATCAGAGACACGTGATATGAGTTTTCGCCGTCGGAGACTCCATGTGCAGAGTTGCACACTCTTGGGGGGTTATATACTCTTGGTAACATCAAGAGTACATAACCCTGGGGTTATGTACTCTTGGTAACATGTTGTCTGTGGACTCCACAATCTGCGCAGTCGACTACGTATTTGTGCTACTGTCAGAGTCAGTACCGTACCGAGTGCTCAGAGCATGTGGGGTACGAGGTGATTATGCATTTCTAAGCATTTTTCGTTTCTAAGCAAATGCGTAAAATCAGCAAACCGTCTTGTACATATTATATGACTCCAAGCTATCCTTTTCCGCCCATCTCCGGTCAGTTGCTGCCAGGGCAAACTCACGTCTTGGCCTCCTACATAGAGCTGCTCGTGTTCTGGACTGCCGTGGCATGCTGGCCGTGTATCACGGCTTCGTCCGGCCCCTGCTCGAGTACGCTCCCCTTGTCTGGATGGGAGCTGCTCCCACTAACCTTGAACACCTTAACAGAGTGCAGAGGCGTGCCCTCCACATCCTGGGACCCACCATCTTGCTACAGAGCCTAGAGGCCCGACGGACAGTGGTGGCACTGACTTTCGTCTACAAGCTGCTGGGCCAACCAGGTCCTCCTCTGCTGAGATCCATGGTCCCCCCTTTCGTCGTCCACCATGCCGCACCTGTAACCCGGAGACAATGCCAACAGTCTGCTTCACACCCCTTCCAACTGGAAAATGTTCTCCCTCCAGGCGCTCCTAACTACCTAAGACGCGCCTTTCCATACAACATCATCAACACCTGGAATGCGCTGCCATCCTCCCTCTTCACCAAACCACCATCTCCTAAGGGCCTACAATCCTTCAAAGCGAACGTCCACTACCATCTTCGCCGAAGCCAGTGGCTTTGGGCCACAGACTCCCTCTAACAGTTCAGAACTATTTCCATCCTGAAGCTCCCCCCCCTCTCTCTCTCTCTCTCTCTCTCTCTCTCTCTCTCTCTCTCTCTCTCTCTCTCTCTCTCTCTCTCTCTCTCTCTCTCTCTCTCTCTCTCTCTCTCTCTCTCTCTCTCTCTTTCTCCACCCCCCCTCTCTCTCTCTCTTTCTTTCTCCTCATCCATTCTACCTCACCTTCTCTTGTCTTTATCGCACTAAATCACCCCCCTCTTTTAGGCTATGGTGCGCAAGCTCACGTTAACGCCGAGACCATAGGTCGGTGTTGTGGGCTTGCCTCACCAGCACAGGCTTGCTTTGCAGCCCCTACTCTCCCTGCTGTTTTGTCATTGTATACTCTGTTGTCTTCTCCCCTTCTGACGAGTAGGTTGTGTACTTAGTAAAAAAAAAAAAAAAAAAAAATCCAATGCATGCGGTACAATATTCCAAATATAGCACAGTGAGAGACTTCCCTCGGTCTTCATCTTCATTTCCCAGCATGTGTTTTGTTCAAGAAGACTAGGTTTGTCTTCATTTTAGAGCAGTTTGTTGCTCTTCGCGATCGATTCAGCAGCAGAAATAATGTAAAATCGCCCTTTTATGGATCCCGTTTGTGAGGAGCCTAGCCTGCCGAACCAGGCCCAGAAAGCTCATGTATTAAATACTAGTAATAGCAGTAGTAGCGACAGCACTGGATCTGCTAATGGAGAAGAAAGCCATAAAACGACTTCTGATACAGATATGGCACCAAAGAGCCGGATGAACCCAGCACAGATTCAGCTAGCAAGCGAGCAACGCTCGCTGTCAGAGCATTCTATTCTCCTGTAACGAGCAGTGCATTTCGTTCGAAGGCCGCTGCGGCAAATGCATTTGACGGGAGTCGGCAGATGTTCTGACATATAGAGAAGGAACTGGAGGTGTCTGGCGTGTTGTCAAACATCAAGAGTGGGCACCTTCCTCCTCCACCTCTGCCAGATGTTCACGACAATGGTTCAGTGACCACACCATCTGCACCTGGTGGCATAGAGTTTGACATGGCAACAGTGGAGGCTGCCATCAAAGCCAAATGCACACGTCCTGGTGACAATGTCAAGTATGGGACACATGGATTGGTGGGCATGTATCGTGAGGGCGTGAAATGGGCCGTGGAGTCAATGCACACGGGCAATCTGCGGAAGGATGGGCGCAGAGCATCTGAGCTGTTAGCCTTGATGAACATCAAAGTGTCTGACACGAAACTTCACCTGAAGTTGAGAGAATATGAGGCTTCGCTGGAACCTGATGTTACCGTCGTGAATGGCCAGACACCATGCAGAACTGGCCAGAGAGCGAAGTTGCCAATGCGATATGAAGTCCAACTTGTGGAGTTTTTGGTTTCAGTGGATGCTGGGAAGCCACTTCTTTAGGGCTCTAATTGCTTGCGGAAGACTTTGGTTTTTTTGGCATTAGTACTTGTCACTGTTCTAGCATGTACATGTATGTGTGTAGAATGGAAGAATGCGATGAAATAACACTAAACATAGTCATTTTACACAATGCTTACAATCTAAAACGTTCATATTCATAGCATCATATCAACCCAAATGCAATCCATTCCTTGGGGCGTTATGATAGTCATATTCAGTTGAAACTTGGTGAAGATAGAAAGAAAGGGATCATCTTCTGAGTGAGGCCAAAACATGTATACACATGCGCACTGACACCCCGATATTGTACGATTTTACAATCATGCTTAAAAATGCATAATCACCTCGTACAGGTACACACTTCACACGACCTTTCGACCGCAATGCATGGCATGCATCGCACATTTTCGTTCCACAACCCTGACCTTGAGTCGCAAGTAGGCACATCTGCGTCGCAAACTGCCATGCGAAGTAGGCGCATCTGCGTCGCAAACTGCCATGCGATATGGGATAAATCATGCCCTGCCGTGCTAACTTATATTTTTGGCAGAACGATTATTTTTGTTTTTAATCAATGATAGCCGTATAGGCTAAGCTAAACCAAATGAGTACATGAGCAAGACTGTGCAAATCCTTATACAATCATGTAGGTGGCTTTTTATGATGCAATCTATTGTGACTATTTACTATTGTTTCAAGTTATTGAGCAGCTAGCTAAACCCTCCTGGATATTGTTTGCTCTGTACTTTGCAGGCGACAAGACAAGGAGCCAGATGCCAGTTCTCGACTATGTAGCTGTCATTTTGAAGACGGAGATAAAAAGAAGGACCCCACTATATTTCCACGAAATAAGGATAAGGCGTTTGGTTTTCAGGACCCTGAACCAATGCATAGAAGGTATGTAGTCCAGGTCAATGTAAGAGATTTGTATATTGAACTTGATGTTCTCCTGAAGCGATTTCTAAATTAGTTTTGCCATCCTAAATGAAGTGTGCTATGTGAATTCTAGTAGATGGACCAGATCAGTATTTCATAACACTGTGAACCATCGACGGGCAATCTTTCATTTTTGTTTTGTTTCTCACTGTCTCTCCATTATTTTGTGCAGGAAACGGACTGTAAAGGCATTAGCTGTTGATGATACGGACAAGGATGGTAGCGAACAAGTGAAGCTGACCCATTTGAAGCTGAACGTGAAGCTGCTGAACGCGAAGCTGCTGAACGTGAAGCTACTACTATGCAACGCCTGCTTGAACTTTTCCAACGCATCAACACGTCAATCCTCGAAGTGAAGTATGATAAGCTGAAGGCTGAAGTTAGTGCCTTAGAAAAGCGAAAAGAGAAGGTGGAAATCCAGTTCTGTTTCGAATTTATTTCCCGGAAAGCTGAACTTGTCCGGCACTACACCGGCCTGCCGTCTGCTGACGACTTTCGTATCCTGTTTCGTCTTTGCACGAGGTTCCCGATAGAGTATCACCAGGGCTGGCGAGTGGAGCTGGTACCAATGGAGGACCAGCTCCTCATCACCCTCATGAAGTTGCGGTGCAACTTCAGTCTGACTGACCTCGGCTTACGTTTCGGCACTTCGCACACCACTGTATCTAATATCTTCCATACATGGCTTTTTGTCCTTCATACTGTACTCTATCAAGGCATGCTCCCGTCGCAACTTCCGTCCGTCACGAAAAACAAGACTTCTCTACCCGTCTGCTTCTCTACGTTCTCCAGTTGTCGTTTAATACTTGATTGTACTGAAGTCGAAATTGCAATTCCAAGCCGTATGGACACTCAGACGTGGACCTATTCCCACTACAAACATAAAAATACATTCAAAGGTCTTGTGGGTGTCGCACCGAACGGTGTTGTCAATTATGTCAGTCCTCTGTACCCATGTTCAACCAGCGACAAAGAAGTCGTTCGCCACTGTGGAGTGCTGTCAAAGTTGACAGCCGGTGACATGGTACTCGCCGATAAAGGATTCCTGATCCATGACTTGATGCCGGCTGGTGTTTCTCTAAATCTTCCTCCTTTTCTCACTACTCCTCAGTTTACCGCTGCTCAAGCAAATGTAACTGCCCGCATCGCAAGAGCTCGGATCCATGTGGAGCGAGCCATACAACGCATAAAGATCTTCGCCATTCTCGACTACATACCCTACCAATACCGTTCTTTCTCCAGCGAAATCTTCCAAGTCTGTGCAATGCTAACTAATCTTTGTAATCCTCTCCTGAAGGAGATTGAAGCTGGTGACCTTAGCGCTGATCCTGCATCAGAAACTTCTGAGCACACCGACATCACACTCTACTCTTACACCACTGCAAACCCCTGCTGCTACGCCATCACAGAAACTGCCCATCACACCCGACATGGTGAATCAGTTATTCGCAGTCCTGTCAGCTGCAGACCCGTTAGCCAAAGCACCAGCACCGTCAGCATCAGCCGCAGCACCGTCAGCCAAAGTACAGTCAGCATCAGCCACAGTACAGTCAGCATCAGCCGCAGCACCGTCAGCCACAGTACCGTCAGCATCTGCCGCAGCAGCAGTACCGTCAGCATCTGCCGCAGCAGCAGTACCGTCAGCATCTGCTGCAGCAGCAGCACCGTCAGCATCAGCCATCACACCCGACATGGTGAATCAGTTATTCGCAGTCCTGTCAGCTGCAGACCCGTTAGCCACAGCAGCAGCACCGTCAGCATCTGCCGCAGCAGCAGTACCGTCAGCATCAGCCGCAACAGCAGCACCCCCAGCATCTGCAGCAGCACCGTCAGCCGCAGCAGCAGCACCCTCAGCATCAGCCGCAGCACCGTCAGCCGCAGCAGCGGCACCCTCAGCATCTGCTGCAGCCGCAGTTTCACGGGTCTCCCTGTACACATTGCATTATTTGCCACATGACATGTGCCAGTCCCGAATGGATGGGCGGCAATGGAGCAATGCCTGCACCATCATTGCATGTCTACAGGCCTGGAAGTACCTGACTGTGCCCTACCCCATACAGCCATTGTCATCTGCCGAAGTCACGAAGAGATTTGTAAACAGCATGAGAGAGGGCAATCGACTGTATGATGATGCCAAGTTGGGGAACAATCTCCTTGCCATTTATGATGCGCTTGATGTCATACCAGGCAAGCCACTTCGGGTGGCACCTCGTTCCGATTTTGGTGCACGAAATGAGGAAGGTTTATCAAAGTTGTTAGAGAAGTGTAAGGATCAGGCTATTCTTTCCCAATCTGTTCTTCCTAAGAAAGGTTTGCTCCCCACACCGGAGCTCGCGCTATTCCGCCGACTTTACTTGACACTTGACTGACTCACGACTGCCATCCAGAGCACACGAGAAGTCCATCGAACCTTCGACTCGGCAAACCTGCAAGAAAGCACCACTCCCTGCTCAATACACAGTGTTTCGGGGAATTCACCCCTCATCAGTTGAGCTTGAGTAGGCTGAGGAAGATTGTGCCTGAAGAGCACCACTTATATAGTGCTCTCCAGGCACAAACATCACCAAGGATACAAACTTACAGAGACGCTCTGTTTCCAGCGCGACAAACACCTCGTGAACACCAGATAGCAGCGTGAGTCAGTGTCGCTCCTGGACGGTAAGACAGACGTCGAGGACCCTCGGTCATTCGCAACGCTGTCACCTCCAAACCAACTAGTCGCAAGCCCGCGCTGGGCACAACAGTACGAAGTAGTGGTTGCGACTTCGGCGATGACTTGTAAGAAAGGTTTGCTCCCCACACCGGAGCTCGCGCTATTCCGCCGACTTTACTTGACACTTGACTGACTCACGACTGCCATCCAGAGCACACGAGAAGTCCATCGAACCTTCGACTCGGCAAACCTGCAAGAAAGCACCACTCCCTGCTCAATACACAGTGTTTCGGGGAATTCACCCCTCATCAGTTGAGCTTGAGTAGGCTGAGGAAGATTGTGCCTGAAGAGCACCACTTTTATAGTGCTCTCCAGGCACAAACATCACCAAGGATACAAACTTACAGAGACGCTCTGTTTCCAGCGCGACAAACACCTCGTGAACACCAGATAGCAGCGTGAGTCAGTGTCGCTCCTGGACGGTAAGACAGACGTCGAGGACCCTCGGTCATTCGCAACGCTGTCACCTCCAAACCAACTAGTCGCAAGCCCGCGCTGGGCACAACAGTACGAAGTAGTGGTTGCGACTTCGGCGATGACTTGTAAGAAAGGTTTGCTCCCCACACCGGAGCTCGCGCTATTCCGCCGACTTTACTTGACACTTGACTGACTCACGACTGCCATCCAGAGCACACGAGAAGTCCATCGAACCTTCGACTCGGCAAACCTGCAAGAAAGCACCACTCCCTGCTCAATACACAGTGTTTCGGGGAATTCACCCCTCATCAGTTGAGCTTGAGTAGGCTGAGGAAGATTGTGCCTGAAGAGCACCACTTTTATAGTGCTCTCCAGGCACAAACATCACCAAGGATACAAACTTACAGAGACGCTCTGTTTCCAGCGCGACAAACACCTCGTGAACACCAGATAGCAGCGTGAGTCAGTGTCGCTCCTGGACGGTAAGACAGACGTCGAGGACCCTCGGTCATTCGCAACGCTGTCACCTCCAAACCAACTAGTCGCAAGCCCGCGCTGGGCACAACAGTACGAAGTAGTGGTTGCGACTTCGGCGATGACTTGTAAGAAAGGTTTGCTCCCCACACCGGAGCTCGCGCTATTCCGCCGACTTTACTTGACACTTGACTGACTCACGACTGCCATCCAGAGCACACGAGAAGTCCATCGAACCTTCGACTCGGCAAACCTGCAAGAAAGCACCACTCCCTGCTCAATACACAGTGTTTCGGGGAATTCACCCCTCATCAGTTGAGCTTGAGTAGGCTGAGGAAGATTGTGCCTGAAGAGCACCACTTTTATAGTGCTCTCCAGGCACAAACATCACCAAGGATACAAACTTACAGAGACGCTCTGTTTCCAGCGCGACAAACACCTCGTGAACACCAGATAGCAGCGTGAGTCAGTGTCGCTCCTGGACGGTAAGACAGACGTCGAGGACCCTCGGTCATTCGCAACGCTGTCACCTCCAAACCAACTAGTCGCAAGCCCGCGCTGGGCACAACAGTACGAAGTAGTGGTTGCGACTTCGGCGATGACTTGTAAGAAAGGTTTGCTCCCCACACCGGAGCTCGCGCTATTCCGCCGACTTTACTTGACACTTGACTGACTCACGACTGCCATCCAGAGCACACGAGAAGTCCATCGAACCTTCGACTCGGCAAACCTGCAAGAAAGCACCACTCCCTGCTCAATACACAGTGTTTCGGGGAATTCACCCCTCATCAGTTGAGCTTGAGTAGGCTGAGGAAGATTGTGCCTGAAGAGCACCACTTTTATAGTGCTCTCCAGGCACAAACATCACCAAGGATACAAACTTACAGAGACGCTCTGTTTCCAGCGCGACAAACACCTCGTGAACACCAGATAGCAGCGTGAGTCAGTGTCGCTCCTGGACGGTAAGACAGACGTCGAGGACCCTCGGTCATTCGCAACGCTGTCACCTCCAAACCAACTAGTCGCAAGCCCGCGCTGGGCACAACAGTACGAAGTAGTGGTTGCGACTTCGGCGATGACTTGTAAGAAAGGTTTGCTCCCCACACCGGAGCTCGCGCTATTCCGCCGACTTTACTTGACACTTGACTGACTCACGACTGCCATCCAGAGCACACGAGAAGTCCATCGAACCTTCGACTCGGCAAACCTGCAAGAAAGCACCACTCCCTGCTCAATACACAGTGTTTCGGGGAATTCACCCCTCATCAGTTGAGCTTGAGTAGGCTGAGGAAGATTGTGCCTGAAGAGCACCACTTATATAGTGCTCTCCAGGCACAAACATCACCAAGGATACAAACTTACAGAGACGCTCTGTTTCCAGCGCGACAAACACCTCGTGAACACCAGATAGCAGCATGAGTCAGTGTCGCTCCTGGACGGTAAGACAGACGTCGAAGACCCTCGGTCATTCGCAACGCTGTCACCTCCAAACCAACTAGTCGCAAGCCCGCGCTGGGCACAACAGTACGAAGTAGTGGTTGCGACTTCGGCGATGACTTGTAAGAAAGGTTTGCTCCCCACACCGGAGCTCGCGCTATTCCGCCGACTTTACTTGACACTTGACTGACTCACGACTGCCATCCAGAGCACACGAGAAGTCCATCGAACCTTCGACTCGGCAAACCTGCAAGAAAGCACCACTCCCTGCTCAATACACAGTGTTTCGGGGAATTCACCCCTCATCAGTTGAGCTTGAGTAGGCTGAGGAAGATTGTGCCTGAAGAGCACCACTTATATAGTGCTCTCCAGGCACAAACATCACCAAGGATACAAACTTACAGAGACGCTCTGTTTCCAGCGCGACAAACACCTCGTGAACACCAGATAGCAGCGTGAGTCAGTGTCGCTCCTGGACGGTAAGACAGACGTCGAGGACCCTCGGTCATTCGCAACGCTGTCACCTCCAAACCAACTAGTCGCAAGCCCGCGCTGGGCACAACAGTACGAAGTAGTGGTTGCGACTTCGGCGATGACTTGTAAGAAAGGTTTGCTCCCCACACCGGAGCTCGCGCTATTCCGCCGACTTTACTTGACACTTGACTGACTCACGACTGCCATCCAGAGCACACGAGAAGTCCATCGAACCTTCGACTCGGCAAACCTGCAAGAAAGCACCACTCCCTGCTCAATACACAGTGTTTCGGGGAATTCACCCCTCATCAGTTGAGCTTGAGTAGGCTGAGGAAGATTGTGCCTGAAGAGCACCACTTTTATAGTGCTCTCCAGGCACAAACATCACCAAGGATACAAACTTACAGAGACGCTCTGTTTCCAGCGCGACAAACACCTCGTGAACACCAGATAGCAGCGTGAGTCAGTGTCGCTCCTGGACGGTAAGACAGACGTCGAGGACCCTCGGTCATTCGCAACGCTGTCACCTCCAAACCAACTAGTCGCAAGCCCGCGCTGGGCACAACAGTACGAAGTAGTGGTTGCGACTTCGGCGATGACTTGTAAGAAAGGTTTGCTCCCCACACCGGAGCTCGCGCTATTCCGCCGACTTTACTTGACACTTGACTGACTCACGACTGCCATCCAGAGCACACGAGAAGTCCATCGAACCTTCGACTCGGCAAACCTGCAAGAAAGCACCACTCCCTGCTCAATACACAGTGTTTCGGGGAATTCACCCCTCATCAGTTGAGCTTGAGTAGGCTGAGGAAGATTGTGCCTGAAGAGCACCACTTATATAGTGCTCTCCAGGCACAAACATCACCAAGGATACAAACTTACAGAGACGCTCTGTTTCCAGCGCGACAAACACCTCGTGAACACCAGATAGCAGCATGAGTCAGTGTCGCTCCTGGACGGTAAGACAGACGTCGAAGACCCTCGGTCATTCGCAACGCTGTCACCTCCAAACCAACTAGTCGCAAGCCCGCGCTGGGCACAACAGTACGAAGTAGTGGTTGCGACTTCGGCGATGACTTGTAAGAAAGGTTTGCTCCCCACACCGGAGCTCGCGCTATTCCGCCGACTTTACTTGACACTTGACTGACTCACGACTGCCATCCAGAGCACACGAGAAGTCCATCGAACCTTCGACTCGGCAAACCTGCAAGAAAGCACCACTCCCTGCTCAATACACAGTGTTTCGGGGAATTCACCCCTCATCAGTTGAGCTTGAGTAGGCTGAGGAAGATTGTGCCTGAAGAGCACCACTTATATAGTGCTCTCCAGGCACAAACATCACCAAGGATACAAACTTACAGAGACGCTCTGTTTCCAGCGCGACAAACACCTCGTGAACACCAGATAGCAGCGTGAGTCAGTGTCGCTCCTGGACGGTAAGACAGACGTCGAGGACCCTCGGTCATTCGCAACGCTGTCACCTCCAAACCAACTAGTCGCAAGCCCGCGCTGGGCACAACAGTACGAAGTAGTGGTTGCGACTTCGGCGATGACTTGTAAGAAAGGTTTGCTCCCCACACCGGAGCTCGCGCTATTCCGCCGACTTTACTTGACACTTGACTGACTCACGACTGCCATCCAGAGCACACGAGAAGTCCATCGAACCTTCGACTCGGCAAACCTGCAAGAAAGCACCACTCCCTGCTCAATACACAGTGTTTCGGGGAATTCACCCCTCATCAGTTGAGCTTGAGTAGGCTGAGGAAGATTGTGCCTGAAGAGCACCACTTATATAGTGCTCTCCAGGCACAAACATCACCAAGGATACAAACTTACAGAGACGCTCTGTTTCCAGCGCGACAAACACCTCGTGAACACCAGATAGCAGCGTGAGTCAGTGTCGCTCCTGGACGGTAAGACAGACGTCGAGGACCCTCGGTCATTCGCAACGCTGTCACCTCCAAACCAACTAGTCGCAAGCCCGCGCTGGGCACAACAGTACGAAGTAGTGGTTGCGACTTCGGCGATGACTTGTAAGAAAGGTTTGCTCCCCACACCGGAGCTCGCGCTATTCCGCCGACTTTACTTGACACTTGACTGACTCACGACTGCCATCCAGAGCACACGAGAAGTCCATCGAACCTTCGACTCGGCAAACCTGCAAGAAAGCACCACTCCCTGCTCAATACACAGTGTTTCGGTGTTCACGAGGTGTTTGTCGCGCTGGAAACAGAGCGTCTCTGTAAGTTTGTATCCTTGGTGATGTTTGTGCCTGGAGAGCACTATATAAGTGGTGCTCTTCAGGCACAATCTTTTTCAGCCTACTCAAGCTCAACTGATGAGGGGTGAATTCCCCGAAACACTGTGTATTGAGCAGGGAGTGGTGCTTTCTTGCAGGTTTGCCGAGTCGAAGGTTCGATGGACTTCTCGTGTGCTCTGGATGGCAGTCGTGAGTCAGTCAAGTGTCAAGTAAAGTCGGCGGAAAAGCGCGAGCTCCGGTGTGGGGAGCAAACCTTTCTTACAAGTCATCGCCGAAGTCGCAAACACTACTTCGATCTGTTCTTCCTGCCTCTTTAATTCAAAATCCCTACACCATTCTTCTGGTATTTTTCCCATCTGGTTATGCTCAAGTCTTCGACAGCCATGCCCATGGCGAGCGTGGTGCCCTAATCGCTATTCTCCCAGCTGACATGAAAGTTGCAGCGAATTTTCTTTCCACGCTTGTTGGGCACATAAAAGATAGCCATCTCTGTATATTGGCCCGAAAACAGTAGTTTATCCTTTTGGTGCGTTTTGCCAAAATTATCTTGACCCACTGATTGTGACGAGAAATGTAGTTCTGGAAACTATAAACATTTCAGCCATGTGTTATGGCGATCGCATGCATTCCCCCGATACACATCGCATACATACTCATCCTTCCAAGTTGCTTCACGTTATGATCTTGCATTTGAAAGCCCTATTTGAATATTGTGGCCAGCTGTCTTTGGTACGGTACGACACAGGTACGGGATAGCGTGAGGCATGCCGATGGCACAATCAAACACACACAAAGTTAAAGCTGTGATGACCCTGGCTAGCGTCAGACGTTACTCAAGTAACGTCTTTTGCATAGCTACAGTAATAATAATTATAATATTATTGTCAGCTCGTAGGTGCAATTGTGTGGAATGTTCAGGTGGTGTTGAAGGAAGAGGAAGGTGTAGAGTTATGATTGCAGCCATGGCACAGGTGACTAAAGCAAGAGGGGTGCTGTTTATCATGGGCCTACAATATTCATGCATACACGAACACGCACATGCACCCACACATACAGAATTGTACACCCACTAGCAGCACCCGGCCAGCGTTGCCTGGCCGAACGTGGCATGCGGGTGAAGCAAGTACATGAACAGCACACGTGCTCAGCACGTGGTGGTGGCTACACGATTCGCACGCTTCGCGTGCTCAGTGCTTCTGTGGCTGCGTCCGCTAGCTACACGATTCGCACGCTTCGCGTGCTCAGTGCTTCTGCGGCCGCTAGCTACACTGTTCGCACGCTTCGCGTGCTCAGGGCAGCGCTTCTGCGTAACACACAGACAAACACACGTCACAGGTGCCTCTTCTTTATAGTATACTAGCTCAGACACCGAAGGTAAGGTATGTAGGGCATGTCTTACATGGACATTTAGGACATATTGGATAGTGCAAATCCGTGGGCCTGGGATCCGGATTCGCAGTCTTTGGACCTGTTTGATTGTTAGAATCCGGATAAGGTGGCATGGATTCGGATCTGGTCAACCCACCCCCCCAAAGAGGGAGTGGACAGTCAACGGATCCATTCTTGCTCTGAACCCAAACTTGCACCAGGTGAATATTGATATCAATTAGCCATTCTACGATATCAGCCTTATTTGACGAGAGTGTCTTATTCGATACTGCTGTTTGAAGGAACTGAGTACCAACGGAAGTGTCACATTAAAACCAGGTCATGTCTGACTGGAACCAAGGCTGACCAGAAGCTAATCATATGCTGGTATATCACGGCTCAGATTCGCCTTGTGTGACCAAGAATTCACCTTGATGCTAAATTCTTGGATCAGGAATATTTTGATTCCCAATATTGTGTATTGGCTACTCAGGTTTGCAACAAATTAACGGCGAATGTATGTTGTGCTTTCTTCCGTATCAATTCCTCAACTATGTGTATGACCAGAATGGACAGAAGATGATCTGCGCAATGCTCGAGTCACGGTTTTTATGGACAGCAAATTCAGGACATTTGCTGACTGTGATGGAATTATCTTGGACAGTTTATCTAAGCAGCACTTCAATGAGACTAATATCACTATCAAATCTAAGAGCAGAAGAAGTGATCCTGCACTCACACGTGTTGAAGGAAAAGGTTTGTAATATCCTGTTCTCTAAATTTGTCATGTTTAATTGAAAGTGTACGGCTAAGTAGGACAAATTCTACTACTGTACTCAGCCACAGGCTGGTAGACCAATTATAGTGTCTGCTCCAGGATGATTTCAAACCAACCATGTACATGTGTACCTGATGTTTAAGTATGGCTACTGCATGTGCACTCATCGATGCATGGCTGGTGATAGTAGATATACAAATCATAATCATCTTGTACATCAGCCAGGCATCTGTACAGAGAGAACACTGCATGATGGTGCTTTGAAATCACTATGTACATCAAGTGCAGTCGACGGGAAAACACAAATTCAAGCATTGCAAGCAGTTGTTGTATCAATGCAATCAGTACCCGGACTCAGAAGTTACTAAAGGTGGTGCAGACCACATATAAATGTAGCCATCTTCACGATGAGGTCAGCGCCACCCATGTGCCAACCAGAATTGCTGCTGGCTTAGGTGTCTGGGTGGGCATGTGCGTGTGCAGACCTACATTACTCACAATACATGTCTATATGGGTGTGATGTGTGTATGTGATCATGTGTCTGTTTGTGTGTGTGTGTGTATGTGAGCATGTGTCTGTTTGTGTGTGTGTGTGTGTATGTGTGTGAGCATGTGTCTGTTTGTGTGTGCGGTCATGCATGTGAATCTACATGTGTCCTGCAGGAGGAGATATAAGGACATTGGTCAAAATTATCATCAACGGAGAACCTGACGACTACACTAAACAAAGGATCCGAAGTGAAGTGATTGAGGACCTGGAGCGCCTTACCTTCTCCAAGAATCAAATTCAGGTCATCTACAAAGGCGACTGGGATTCCATCCAGGTGGTACTGCTGCTACCAATGAGGACACTGGGTCATCTACTCTACCTTGCAGTACACTATCCTGGACTGCTGCGAGGCCTGGATATACTTCAAATCATTGACATCTCCTCATTGACCATAATTGACTTTCGAGAGATAACAGGTATTTTGCTATTATGTGTTGTGTGTTTTTCTGTGTCTCAGGTTGTGTGTGTGTGTGTGTGTGTGTGTGTGTGTGTTTGAGGTTGTGTGTGTGTGTGTGTGTGTGTGTGTTTGTGTGTGTGTGTGTGTGTGTGTGTGTGTGTTTGTGCACACGTGTATGCACGTGTGGGTGCATGTCTATGTGTGTGTGCATGTATGCATGCATGTGTGTATGTGTGTGTGTCCATCCGTGTGTGTGTGTGTGTGTGTGTGTGTGTGTGTGTGTGTGCATGCGTCCTTGCTTGCTTGCCTCTGCGTACATGTGTGAGTGTGAGTGTGTGTCCTAGTGTATACCTGAGTTTTAAAACACCTGCGCTAGTCAAAGAAACTGTTCTTTCAGCTGCCATTCCTCTCTCTGTTCTTTCAGCTGCCATTCCTCTCTCTGTGCTTTCAGCTGCCATTCCTCTCTCTGTTCTTTCAGCTGCCATTCCTCTCTCTGTTCTTTCAGCTGCCATTCCTCTCTCTGTGCTTTCAGCTGCCATTCCTCTCTCTGTGCTTTCAGCTGCCATTCCTCACTCTGTGCTTTCAGATGCCATTCCTCTCTCTGCGCTTTCAGCTGCCATTCCTCTCTCTGTGCTTTCAGCTGCCATTCCTCTCTCTGTGCTTTCAGCTGCCATTCCTCTCTCTGTTCTTTCAGCTGCCATTCCTCTCTCTGTGCTTTCAGCTGCCATTCCTCTCTCTGTGCTTTCAGCTGCCATTCCTCTCTCTGTGCTTTCAGCTGCCATTCCTCTCTCTGTGCTTTCAGCTGCCATTCCTCTCTCTGTGCTTTCAGCTGCCATTCCTTTCTCTGTGCTTTCAGCTGCCATTCCTCTCTCTGTGCTTTCAGCTGCCATTCCTCTCTCTGTTCTGTTAGGTACCACCTCCCGTACATTTCTAGCTGGCCTGCATGCCCTTGCGTACGCACCTTTTGTCTCCTTTTGCTCCGTTGGCCTGGGTAGCTACTTGCGCGCCCATATTTGCCATAGCTACCCGGGCCCTTTATCTTGCCGTTTAGACTTGATCTCACTCTCTCTTTTCCTCACTCTTCAATGTAGTCGTTTCGTTCGTCTTGGTCTCTTGTCTCGTCGTCTACTAGTATAATAAATGTCGTTCCCACTAACTTACTTGTTCCCGTTGTATTGTCTGGATATGTCGTCAGTCGTCTTGTTCCGAACTCAACATTGGCGCCCGATTATTGATCGACCCACGACCCTGAGATCATCCCATGCCCAGCCGTCCTCAACCACCATTCGTCTCGTCTATGTCAACCTCGTCTCGTCCATGTCAGTCTCGTCTCTCCTACGCCAACCTCGTCTCGTCTCTATCAACCTCGTCTCTCCTACGCCAACCTTACCTCGTCTATTCTCGTTCAAGCCATGCAGGTCAGCTACCTTTCTCTCTTTCTTTTTTTTTGTATGCTTCTTCGTCAAATTTATTTTCGTGAATTTTTTGTAGTGTGTGCGCGCGCGTGTGTTCGTAAAACATAACCAAGTTAGGGGTCCGATCATGGTGAGCCACGCTCTAATTTTTGGATGTTTAGCAAAAGTGTAACTAGGCTGTATTAGCCGTGCAAAATACTAGTAATTCACGTTCCTCGTCAAACTCCAATTGTTATTTCACACAATAAGTAGTACAGGAATGATCTGTACGAGTGCATTTTAGTACACACTTTCGTGAGATCCATGCGCGCGTGCAGTATGTGTGTGTGTGTGTGTTTTCTCCTCCAGTTCATTTTTTAAAATCTTTTCCTCTCTTTTTTTTCTCTCCGCGAGGACGCGGGATTTTTTCATGGAGGGGTGGTATGTTAGGTACCACCTCCCGTACATTTCTAGCTGGCCTGCATGCCCTTGCGTACGCACCTTTTGTCTCCTTTTGCTCCATTGGCCTGGGTAGCTACTTGCGCGCCCATATTTGCCATAGCTACCCAGGCCCTTTATCTTGCCGTTTAGACTTGATCTCACTCTCTCTTTTCCTCACTCTTCAATGTAGTCGTTTCGTTCGTCTTTGTCTCTTGTCTCGTCGTCTACTAGTATAATAAATGTCGTTCCCACTAACTTACTTGTTCCCGTTGTAATGTCTGGATATGTCGTCAGTCGTCTTGTTCCGAACTCAACAGTTCTTTCAGCTGCCATTCCTCTCTCTGTGCTTTCAGCTGCCATTCCTCTCTCTGTGCTTTCAGCTGCCATTCCTCTCTCTGTGCTTTCAGCTGCCATTCCTCTCTCTGTGCTTTCAGCTGCCATTCCTCTCTCTGTGCTTTCAGCTGCCATTCCTCTCTCTGTGCTTTCAGCTGCCATTCCTCTCTCTGTGCTTTCAGCTGCCATTCCTCTCTCTGTGCTTTCAGCTGCCATTCCTCTCTCTGTGCTTTCAGCTGCCATTCCTCTCTCTGTGCTTTCAGCTGCCATTCCTCTCCCTGTGCTTTCAGCTGCCATTCCTCTCTCTGTGCTTTCAGCTGCCATTCCTCTCTCTGTGCTTTCAGCTGCCATTCCTCTCTCTGTGCTTTCAGCTGCCATTTCTCTCTCTGTGCTTTCAGCTGCCATTCCTCTCTCTGTGCTTTCAGCTGCCATTCCTCTCTCTGTGCTTTCAGCTGCCATTCCTCTCTCTGTGCTTTCAGCTGCCATTCCTCTCTCTGTGCTTTCAGCTGCCATTCCTCTCTCTGTGCTTTTAGCTGCCATTCCTCTCTCTGCGCTTTCAGCTGCCATTCCTCTCTCTGTGCTTTCAGCTGCCATTCCTCTCTCTGTGCTTTCAGCTGCCATTCCTCTCTCTGTGCTTTCAGCTGCCATTCCTCTTTCTGTGCTTTCAGCTGCCATTCCTCTCTCTGTGCTTTCAGCTGCCATTCCTCTCTCTGTGCTTTCAGCTGCCATTCCTCTCTCTGTGCTTTCAGCTGCCATTCCTCTCCCTGTGCTTTCAGCTGCCATTCCTCTCTCTGTGCTTTCAGCTGCCATTCCTCTCTCTGTGCTTTCAGCTGCCATTCCTCTCTCTGTGCTTTCAGCTGCCATTCCTCTCTCTCTGTGCTTTCAGCTGCCATTCCTCTCTCTCTGTGCTTTCAGCTGCCATTCCTCTCTCTGTGCTTGTGCCAATCTCAATCGTGCTTGAAAGCGTTGATTTCAGAAGTCGTCGAAAGTCGAAATCTAACCTAAATTACCCACTTTTGTATACACTCTGCTCATGGCGAAGTATAGGATGTAATGAGTGGACCCCTCGTGTTGCATAATCATGACAATAGGTGTGACATTTTCTATACCAGGAGTGGGGCTCTGTCCGGGAGAGCCCAGTGTAGTCACTTAGAATAGATGTATCACTGTGCTGCGTAGGAGAGCCACCCAAATGTGTAAAATCCATACAAAAAGGATCCTAGCTGATCCATAAGTCTGAGTTGTCATGGCCACTGGACTGGCTGTGACGTAGGACTTTCAAGCCCTAATGCTTTCTGAGAACTCCTGGTAGTCTACTGCTCAATTTAAACTCAGAAAACAAGAATTTGATATTTGAGTCAAAAACTGGTCCAAACCAGGTTTGGCATAAAAGTAATTCTGTCTATGTTCTTGATATGAAGTATGTCTTTCTGCTGTTGTACTCTTAGGCAGTGTGGTCTTAGACGAATTGGCAGATGATAATGAGGATCTGTCAGAGGACGATGATGAGGATGAAGATGAGAGCGAGATAAATGAGCTGGAGTTTTTGAAGCGCACCAACATGGCTGACATTGCTGAGCACCATATTTCGCAACGGGAATATGATCTGCTCAACAATCGAAGTACCGGTTTCCAGTCGGTGCTGGCAGCCATAATGAGGTCACACAGGAAAGACAAGAATTTCATGAGAGCAATTAGCGCTGGCATTGGCAACAGTAAGTTCATAATTCAAGTGACTAGTATGAGAATGGATTACTACTGGATTACTAGTATTTGTGATAATGCACTGCTCATTTCAGTGAAGGCAATTTGCCTGCAAACAAATTATTTATAAAGAAGCTGCGGGAGGCGTCCTTCAGAATTTTGAATATGAGAATGCTTATTGTATATGGCCCAGAATCTGCGAAAACCAGGTTACAGGTTTGGGTGGACTCATAGTGATATCAAAATAACTCAAACACAGCAGGGCATTGTGTTAAAAATCCGAAAAAAAACATTAAATCGTTATCTGCAAATAATCGACGCGGAGACAACAATTTTATAATAGCTATAAAGAGAACAAATTCTGCTGTCATCGCCACACTACAACAAAGTCATGAAGGTTTACCAAAATCGATTTTCTTGTCACAATCATCAGTGGAAAGCCGTGACTGAAGAATAACCATGCCAAATCAATAATTTATATACATTCAATAATGTGTTACGAGAACAAAACAAAGTGCTAAAAATAGAATGAGGGAAGGTGAGACAATAGAAGTAAAGTGAGAGCTAAGTGCAACAGGGGTGAGGAACGAATTGCAACGCTAGAACTGTGTAGTGAGACAAACAATCATGCTGTGCACCTACGAAAACAATCTTAACGCAACTACATGTTTCTTCTGCTTACAAAGATCAGGCTTATGCAAACGAATACAAACAGCCTCAAGTACTTTCAACTGACTAGCGTACCGTGCACGACAAAGAAGAGAAAAACTAAAATCATCATACACATGCAGACACTTAGGGTGAGGCAACAGATGAAGAAAAACGGCAGACTTCTTACGATCACAATCACCATCCGATTCCTCGTCTCCACCAACCGCAACCTCGTCCCCCGTCTCATCTTCCAACTCGTCCTCAGTGTCGTCCTCCGTGTCATTCTCCTCATCACCACCGATCGGTCCCAGGCTCGCTTCATGTTGCTGAACCTCTGTTCGTTGACTCCTCCTTTGATCTTGATGGACACAATGCACCATAACAACACAAGAAAGTGCACCACAACAACATCCAGCTCAAGACCAAAGTGGACGCTGCGGCGAGGTGATCATGGTGATGCCCCCATCGCCATCGTTGCCGTTGCCTCCCCCAGAACCGCCACCTGCATCTGCCATCGGCAGTGCTGGGGCTGAGTCTGTGGTGTCGCTGGCACGGGCAAATATGGATGAGGTAAGCACTGAACATGAACAAGAAGAAAGAAGGCTGAAGGAAACGGAATTCAACAGAGAAAACAACACGATCAACATTCAAAGACCTAGACGATCAACGGCTAATTATTCAATGAATTATTACAGTACTGGATGTCAAGCACCGGCGAAGACACTGGGAACAGAAGATTTAGCAACAACAACAATGACAACAACAACAATGGTATCAAATTACCATCAAGATCAAAGGAGGAGTCAACGAACAGAGGTTCAGCAATGTGAAGCGAGCCTGGGACCGATCGGTGGTGATGAGGAGAATGACACGGAGGACGACACTGAGGACAAGTTGGAAGATGAGACGGGGGACGAGGTTGCGGTTGGTGGAGACGAGGAATCGGATGGTGATTGTGATCGTAAGAAGTCTGCCGTTTTTCTTCATCTGTTGTCTCACCCTAAGTGTCTGCATGTGTATGATGATTTTAGTTTTTCTCTTCTTTGTCGTGCACGGTACGCTAGTCAGTTGAAAGTACTTGAGGCTGTTTGTATTCGTTTGCATAAGCCTGATCTTTGTAAGCAGAAGAAACATGTAGTTGCGTTAAGATTGTTTTCGTAGGTGCACAGCATGATTGTTTGTCTCACTACACAGTTCTAGCGTTGCAATTCGTTCCTCACCCCTGTTGCACTTAGCTCTCACTTTACTTCTATTGTCTCACCTTCCCTCATTCTATTTTTAGCACTTTGTTTTGTTCTCGTAACACATTATTGAATGTATATAAATTATTGATTTGGCATGGTTATTCTTCAGTCACGGCTTTCCACTGATGATTGTGACAAGAAAATCGATTTTGGTAAACCTTCATGACTTTGTTGTAGTGTGGCGATGACAGCAGAATTTGTTCTCTTTATAGCTATTATAAATCGTTATCACAGGAAATAAATGAAGAGAGATCCACGTCCACCAGATTGAAGGAGGAGACATGGATGATTTTTGTTTGCATGACAAAACAAGGTAGATATGTGGGGGCAGGCTTGTTGTGGCCCCTTGGTGCTGCAGGCGGTATTGGCCATGGACAGTTCGGCATGAATTTACTTTGCTCCTCACTCAGCACATCCTGGGGCTGAATACATGTCCTGGCGTGCTCTGGCGCGACACACCACAAGGAAACCTGACTCCAGTTGACATCATGGTACTTTTTGAAGGGTGAATCTAGTACAACTGTTCAGAAACAAGCAAGAATACGGCCTTTCAAGCTGTCCCACTGTTCATAGTATTCACATAGTGTGCTGGCGTGCTGCAGTGTCTGCTTGGTGCTGACCAGCAAGTGAAATCTTGGCACGCTGTTCCGGTGCAGCTAGATTGCTAGTGAGGAAAGTCTCGAGTGGGGGCCTCTCAATCTGCTCGCTCATTTGCCTGGCATTCAGTGGCACTTCATCGCCAAGGACTTCCATTGAAAACAGTTTTCACACTGCTCTTGCAACTTTTTTCCTCGTGAACTTGCTGCAAACGCATCAGCTCTGCTGCGCGTTTTCGCTTTGCGTGAGGCCCAGCAACAGCTAGTGCCTCCGTACTTCGATTGGCTAGATCGATGTCGTCCAGGCTCTGCTCGTTGTCGCCATCACGACTCTAACTGGAGACGATTTCTTTTCCATTTTCCGCAGCAGCAGCTAGCGCAGAAAGTTCGTCATCCTTGAGTGTAGGAGACGAAATCGGTTCGGTCAGCTCAAATACTCTTCGTCGTGACTGGAGGAGTAGCAGGGAATATCCTACTGGAAGTCCTTTGACTTCCCTGACTGCTGAAAACCTTCCTGCCATGACTGCTCCTTCTTCAAAAAAGCGAGATTCTCTTTGGTGCCACTTCGCTGCACCCGAGCACCCACGCGGCACAACCTTTTTACAAAACATCATTTTTCTAAAGAAAATGATTTTCACCCTCAGCCTGGTTTCGCAGAAGTGGGGACCATATTTGAATGTACGCAGATCTCTTATACAGGTGATGAAAGAGGACACTGTGCAGCCATGCCTGCTTTGGAAAGTGGTTGAACAAATGACCTTACTAACATGACCTTTCTGTTTTGATTTACATTTTATTAAACCTCGGATGTTGAGCCAATAGTAATATATAAAGAGAAAAGGACCTATAAGTTACTAGTTATGACAAACAGCTCACCAAGGTAACGAGATAATATACAGTCAGATAGTGCGACAACGAGGCATGAAAATGACAAGGATATTGAGACATTTGACGACCTGACACCTAGCTCCAACACATCTATGAAGCGCAAACCAACAACCTTCCAACTTGGAAGGCTCAGGTGCGGAAAGTTTGCGCTCTGCGGCCGACCACGAATATTTCCCACAACAGCAACAAGAGGTTCGGAGTACTGAAAATATTTTAATTCCTTCTGACAGCTGTTTCGGTCATCAGAGACCTCATCAGAGAAGGTAGAATGTTGAATGACTTGACAAAGAAATAAATAACCTATTAATTTTTATACTGACACTTGCAGCAAGATGGCGCGTCAATAAGCGCGCGCATGATACTCAAAGTGTGAAAATAAGGTGTAAAACTCAAGGATTAGTTGTTATTGTTAAAATCACAGGAACGTCAGGATAGAGGGGATCGTTATGCCGGATACTGCAGCACAGCACAGATACAGTAGTCATGCGAGTGGCCCATCTGACATCTACTTGATTCACTCCCTCACCATACTGCACCGTCGGCTCACTCCGTGCGCGTCCAGCTGAGTTCACGTTCATACTACTAGTACGCAGTCATGATTGTAGAATTGTTGGCTGTTGTGTTGAAAAACACACGCACACAGCTGTCACGCGGGACGCCCATGGGACCTTGGCTCCATGACACTGCACTACGTTGTTTTCTTCACTCTTCTTCTCCTCTCCACTCCACTGCTGCTTGAACGGCACACAACTTGAATTACGTAAGAAGAAAGTAAGCAGCAGCACACGGCACTTGAAAAGGCGATGCGCAATGAGTGAGCCAACGGTGCAGTATGGTGATGGAGTGCATGGAGTAGATGCCATATGGGTCACTCGCATGACGTCTCTAGCTGTGCTGCGCTGCAGTATCCGGCATAACTATCCCCTCTATCCTGACGTTCCTATGATTTTAACAATATCAACTATTAATGTAGCAATGCACTTGCCACGACGTGCTTTTAACTTCTCTAACTTCTCTACGCGCGCTGTCACTATAGGTTCCGCGCTTTGCTTCCTTCTTTTATACTACTGTTTTTTTTCATGTCCTCTTCATTCCTGATGATGGTCATGAAGACCGAAACGTTGAAACGATACCTCTAATGGATTTGTGTGAAATGCAGTGCTCTCTTGAGTGTAGGCAGGTTGCCTGCAAACAATAACAACTATTCATTGAGTTCAAACCTTATTTGAGCCATACTTTGAGTATCAAATGCGCGCTTCTTGACGCGCCATCTTGTTTCAAGAGTCAGTATAAAATAGGTGATTTCTTTCTTTTTTGAATCATTCGACATTCTACCTTCTCTCATGAGGTCTCTGATGGCCGAAACAGCTGTCAGAAGGAATTAAAATATTTGCAGTACTCCGAACCTCTTTTTGCTGTTGTGGGGAATGTTCGTGGTCGGCCGCAGAGCCCAAATGTGGTGGGGATGAAGTGGACGTAGTAATTTATAGGTCCTTTTTCTTTACGTGTTACATTTCATTGAAGATCATTCCCATCACAAAGAGACCCATCAGGGATTGGGTACCTGAGTTCGGTTGGGTTGCGACGAGGGAGAGGATAGTGAATCTGCTCTCAATATATCCAGCTCATTGTTGTCGAACTTGATAAAACGCTGTTTAACGTACAGCTATAAACACAAAATCCTGTTGGCCAGCAAGGGTACTTGGTACATAATTAGAATCTGAAGGTGATAAGTCTTGGACATGGGAGTCCACTTGGACGGCTTTCAATGGGCCACTGTGTTGACAGTAGCCTGTGTACAGGCAATGTTCAGGTCGTTTTCTCCTTCCTTCCATCCATGTTCCTAACAGTTTAAATTATTTACTTTGCTTGTTTCTCTATCAGAAATGCCCAGCTCAAAAACACAAAATCTGATTGCACTCACGCACAGACGAGAGAAGGAACTTGCAGCATTCCAAGTCGGGCTCTTGACATCGCCGGAACGAGTGAGTTAAGATTTGCTTTGCTTTATCTTTCACCTGGGCCTTGTCCCTCACTAGCTTATGGAAAGAGGCAGAAGTTGGTAACAATAGAGGTGTGTCTTGTTACTGAGCAGATACTGGTTAAATAGAGCACTCCTACTAAGGTATCCTGGGTTTGTCCAAAGAGGTATGGAACGGGTGCAAGCCGGTATAAGTCAAGTTCATTTTTGCATAGTTTTACATGTCAGCTGGTTGTGAAAAAACGGAATCTTCATCATGAAATCATCAGAATGGTGTGACAAGAGTAGAAGGTAACAGGAGGGTTTGAGAACAAAGTTGACCCGGAAGTGACCTTGTCATGTTTTTGACAGGCTGTGGTTTGACCCTGTCAATTTGTGGTTTGACCTTGATTACTTTACCGTGACATCCGTCAAATAGTGTTACCAGATCACGTGTAACACCCGTGTACTGCGATCTACCTGTGTTACCATAACTTTTGAAGAAAGTGTGACTTTAACTTTGAAAAGTGTGACTGTAACTTTGAAAAGTGTTTGTTGTGCTGTTACAATAATTTTTTGAAACTGTATCCACGAAATGTCTTTTATTTTTATTACAAACTCTGTTTTATCATTATTTTGTTAAACTGTGTGCGTGCAACAAACTCTGTTTTCCCTCTGGAGTGTCACGGCGAGCACCACCACCAAACCTGATACTCCACGAGCAAAGCAATGCATCACCGTTGTAAACATGCTCGACTCTGCATGAAGCAGCAGCAGGTTAGTGTAACAAACTCTGCTTTCTCTCTGGAGTATCACGGTGAGCACCACCACCACCACCACCACCACCACCAAACCTGATACTCCACGAGCAAAGCAATCCATCACCGTTGTAATCCTGCTCGACTCTGCATGAAGCAACAGGTTAGCCGGCAATGACAAATTGAAGAGAGGTACCACTGCGAAGAAGACGATCACTTGCGCGCTACTCGAAGAGAGGTACATGTACTCAGGATGTAGCCCTGTGAAGAAGACGATCACCTGCGATACATCTGAAATGAATGAATGATGCGATGCATCAGCTAGCCGTCTAGCGTCGTGTTTGAGTAAAGGTGAAGTGATGTGCGCTCAAGTGCATGGATCTACGCTAACTATTCACGGTCTGCGAGTACTTGTCATGCACAAACTTGTCGGACAGGTAGAACAATGCCGAAGACAAGGTGTCAAGTCTGTCCGTGTAGTTACTTTTTAAAAGTGCTTGACTGTGTTGTACATGTACATGTAAGGGCTTAGAGGTTTTCGGTGGAAGCATACAGGATTGAAAGAGCGTTTGTACTAGTTTGAGAACAAATGTGCACGGAGGTATTGTCTCAAGCTGTTTGTGGACAATTGCCTCACCTCGTGATGGAAAAAATGCAAGCACATGCATACTGAGGCCACGAGCGCTCACCTCGTGATGAAGAAAATGCCTTCGCCTGCACCGCCTCCGAACGAGGAAAAGTGTTGGCACAACCATCAGGTTGTGAATGAAGGACAGTACGTGTGTACGACTTGTGGACTGGTGCTGGGTAACGTCTTAATGGCCGAAGTGAACGTCTTCGATCGTTGTGTACTCCCGAGATCGTACGCCGCTCGTGAACGTCTGAGTGCTGTGGACAAGCATCTGATTAGATTCATGGAGCGCACGGGAGTGCAGGTGCAGCTTCACGGTGTTCAAGAGCGGCTGCAGTTCATGAAGAAGGACAGCGGCTATAAAAGTCTGAACTATGCCATCGCTCTGAGCTGCATCTGTCATGAGGATAAAGCAGCCTGTTAGGCACTGAGATCTTATCTACCGAAAAGCAACGTGTCATGGGCACGGTCCAGTCGACTCGTCAGCTGCATGCCTAGACAGTTTTCTGACATTTGGCTGCGGCATCTCTTGATCAATGCCAAGCCCTTGACACGCCGTCAGTCCTCCAGATTGAATGAAAACCTTGACAAGTTCTGTAGGGAGCAGAACGACGCAATGAGACTCCTGATCGAGTCTTACGGCTGTGGCAGTGACAGGCATGTTGACTCGCTACCGGACGATCTGCGATGTGCTCTTTATAGATTTTCCTGCGCCGCGATCAAGCCCCGTGCGATCGCGAAAAGGAGGAAGAAGACTGGTGCTGTTCCATCCACGTCTCCTTGATCACATCGAGATATTATAAGATCACGATGATCGTTTGTCCGGTACTCATTTGTTCTTTTACAGTTTAGTGAACAACCTATACTTTCTGTCCGCCTCATCATGAACGCTATGGACATCGGTATTTGGATGCTGCTGAGCAAGCACGATGAGAGTAGTTGCGTGCTCCGATCGCTGCTGCATTGTGTGGCTCTGAAAGGCCTGTGCCCCGTCGAAGACCTCCAGACGGTGGCAAAAGATGAGCGTCTGGAGGTGATCTGGAGACTGGCTCGTAACCTTGCCAGGGATCGCAGGGTCGACTTGATTGCCGCGACGCAAGTGCTGCTTTCTGAGCAAGTGTTGGCGGATGGAGGCGCACTGCTGCCGCACTACCTGGAGCGGATATTCGCAATCATGGGCGAGCGTTGGATTGACGATGGAAGGCTGGGACTTCTCATCACCCCCCTCGCTCATCTGATCGTGATATGTGAGCAGGCGGTAATCACGATGCAACCTGCCATTGCCAACAAGATCATCGCGTGCTACGAGCGCGAGCTACATCGAGTAGCCGTGAGACAGTGCCGGCAGCACGGCGGATCAGGGAACATTTTACTTTGCACTATGCAATTTGTATTTTTTGTATCACTGATTTATTTACATTGTAATTGATGATCAATATCGTCATGAGCATCATCATCATCATCATCATCATCAGAAACATAATCAATGTTCTTGATAAATGAAACGATATGAATTGTAAATGCGAAAGTTTTTGTATACTCCTGTGATGGTATCATCCATTATGAGCACAGCTTGGTGATGATGAATGGGGCGAATCCTGAACGCAAGTGTGCACTTGTTCTTGCGAGGTATCTCCTTGTGTGAGATCCAGTAGCGCTGTTCGTTCGCTCCAAGCTCTTCTGCGTTTGCGGGGTATCCCACCAGCATGTACAGTCCAACGGGTATGATAGTACCTCCATCCAGTGATTTTTCAAAGGGAAACTCCACAAGTACGAGCGATGTGTTGGCATGATTTTCCGGTAGGGTACCCTCCACGATACGCACCGTAGGAGCTGCACTCCTCTCACCAGGCGGTCCACGTTGTCCAGCTTCTCCAACAGGCCCTTGCAGACCTTGCTCTCCTCGTACTCCTTGCAGACCTTGTGGACCCGGGGGCCCTTTCAGTGACGCAGTAACCACCCACTCGGTATCGTTTAGCTTTTCGTAGACGAGTCCACTGTCAGAGTTGTGGAAAAAGTCACCCACCCTGCCATCGTGCAAGGACGGTGCACGATCGCCCCCGAGCCATCCACGTCCTGGCTCACCTTTCGGGCCCCTCATTTTGCGCACCTCCTCCACCTCCTTTCTCAGCTGGCTAGCTTCTTCTCTATCGAATTTGAGTGTCTTTAAAGATTGCACATCGTGCACGATGGTATGCTCGGTTTTTTCATTACCAACCAGCACCTTCAATTGCAGGAGAGCATCTCTGGTCTCTTGCAATGCTCGTTGAGATGCAATCTTTGAATCGCTCTCGTGGAAATGAGATGCCCAAAATGCCATGATGCTCTAATAAAGAGAAGATATATTTTTTCTTCCATAGAACAAGAATGTCGTCTGTGATTCTCACCGCTGCCAATAACGTCTTTGCGGTGAGCAGCGGGCAGTACACACCCAACTTCACTCTAAACGTTAAGGAGCTCGACACGCGCAGGAAAACGCTCCATTTGCAATCGGCACAGTTCGAGTTGCACGTTGAGAACGTGAGCGAGCATACCAACAAACTGTATGTGACGAATGTGGAGAGTGGAGTGGAAGATCGAGTATCCATCACCACCGGTACCTACACGGATGCGGAGGAGCTCGTCGTCGTCGTCAATGCAGCTCTGTCAACTCGCGGACATCAGGATGTGGTCTTCACCTACTCGCGGTTGACCAGTCGACTAACGATATCCACACCTGTGGGAAAGCTGTGCACGCTGAAGAACGACTCGCCGGGTGTCCTGTTGGGGGTGGGTGCAATCGAGACTCGCTATGACATGAGCGGTGTGCGCACCCTCCCCCATGCCGTGGACCTCACCGTTGGACGCAGACTGGTTCTCCTCTATACGGATCTGATTGCACCATCCATCGAGTACGAGGACAACATGGACTCGAGAGTGGTGAAAACGTTTCTCGTGCAAACCCTCAACGGTGTGAACAACTACATGTTCTCTCAGAAAGACAAGCGTAACATGCTTCGAAACGAGAGCGTGCGTCAGATGACTTTCTGGCTCAAGTTTAACACCGGTGAGCTGATCACCACGGGCTATCCTATCTATTTGGACATGCGCATTGAAAATATTTCCTCTGCATAGTAAAGTCGACAATGGATCTTGACAGCAGCAACCGCAGCAGCAGCAGCAGCAGCGATAGCAATGCAACACCGACGAACCTCTCGCCTGTAGAGACGGGAAGTGCCGTCGAGCAGTTCCGAGTGGATCATCTTCGACAGCTGTTGAGAAAAATCAGAGACCGAAAGGAACTGGAGAAAAACAAGATCGCTGCTGTGGAAAAACGCTTGTCACATGGAAACATAGTACTCACCGTGCTTCTCGGTGTTCAGCTTGCTCTCAGTGCTAGTCAGACAACGGTGTTTGCCGATGTGGATAAGCGCATCGTTGGCGGGCTCTCTCTGGCGAGCACGTTGACCAGCTTGGCTCTGGGATGCGTTAGCAAGCGCGTATCCTCGCAACGTGGAATGCAGAAAAAGCTCCTACTCTCTCAACAGCGATGGGATAAGGCCGAAGACGCTTTCACCATAGAACTGGGTGCATGCATGCATGACGGAGTGCTAACCAGCGAGGAGCATCTCAAGTTGAAGGGTATTTATGAGGAGG